TTTAAACTGGGTAAGTCAGTTTAAAGAAACGGGAACATTAGTTAGAAAAAAAGATAAATTGAAAACGCTCAAGATATTATTTTAAATGATGTTATACATATAAGGGAAATTTTAGCAAGAAACAATAATAAAATATCTTTTAGAAAAATTGCCCAATCCATACATATGTCAAAGAGTAAGGCATGGAGGAAGGATAATTAAGAGTTGCCGTTTCTTTGTATAAATATGGCAACATGTTTGCCTTCAGCGACATGTGGGATAGTTTTGTGCAACTAATTCTCAGTCGGTAATATAAAAAGCTGTAATGCTATTTTAATTTGAAAATTGGCGGGCTTTTTAATTTACTTCGACAAAATATAAGAATTTTACATTTTTAATAGCATTTTTTTAACACGCATCTCAGGCGTGTTAAAAAATGCTAATAAAAATGTAAAATTTTATGTTAAATAATTTTAGAGGTAAAAAATAAATAGGTAATACAAAATTGTATTATAACTAAATATTATTTGTTGAATTTTGAATCTTTATTGGTTACAACAATAAACATAATATATATTTTCTGAATAAACAACTATTTTAAATAACAAAACGAACTAAATTTTTCTTTAATCGTGCGAAATAAAACAAGAGTTCCATCCATAAATCCTGAAAAGAAAAAAAAAACAATTGTTGAAAGCGAAAAACTTCCTAAAGCACATGATTTTGATTGTATGTGACTAATTACTTTTGCATTTGCAGCGATTTAACTAATTTTTAATTTACTACTTCTAATTTCTATAACGTCTAATTAAGATTTTCTTGCTTTATGTAATGAAAATACTTTAGATTTATAAAGATTAAAAAGTTTGGTTATAATACATACAATTAAATTGGCATATCTAGGATAATTATCAAAATGAATATCAGAATTAAAAATTTGTTAAAGATTTCAATATTTGGGGATAATACAATTACGAATACGAATAATAATCCTTTTTTCAGTTGACAATAAAATGAAAATGTTTCTTCTAAAACAGTGTAAATGGGCTAGAACAATTTACTATTACAATCAAATATATGCATTTATAGGACATAGACATGCAAAAGTATCAAAATAAGTTTACTTACAGTAAATTATTACTAAATTTATGCCTAAAACTGTATTAAATAAAAGTAAAACTCAGAATTGTTTACATCGACAGCCATATTGTATTTTGTATCATTCGGCATTCGGGTTTCGTTTATCGAGTCGACTCGAGCTTTAACGAGATTTGGGTTTTGTTATCCAAAGCCAGGTTTACATTGTACAAATAATTGAATAAATTCATATTTTTTCAATTTTACGATTGATAAATTAAAAATATGTGAAACTATTACTTTTGGCAAGTTAATAACACGCTTATGTTTATTTTTATTGAGATATTTTGTAATTATTCTGTTTTCTTTATATTTTATATATAATTGTGTTATTGTAAAACGGACGTACGCCAGTTTCGATGCGCAGTAACTTGTTGACAAAATGCGCATATGCTATAAACCCCCGTGGAGTAAGGTGCATAAAATTTTAAAAGTAATCAAGTTTAAAGCATATAAGGTTCAGACTTTTCATAAAATTGAAAATCATGCATTTGAAAAGAGAATTTTTATGTGTGAGACGTTATTAGATTTATTTAGACATCAACCAAATGTAAATCTAATAATGTCAGATCAAGCAACGTTTTATTTAAGTGGACGCGTAAATAAACACAATTATAGGATTTGAGGTGACGAAAATCCTAGAGCTTTCAATGAGTTTAAAAGAGATGCTCCAAAGGTAAATGTATGGTGTGGTGTGTCCAAAACCAAAATTTATGGACCATTTTTCTTTCAAGAGGAAACAGTATATGGAAACAATTACACGGATATGCTAGAACTATTCTTTTATCCTCAACTAGAACAAGAAGAAATATTAATACTGTATATTTCCAGCAAGATGGTGCTCCACCGCATTACTCTCTTGTAGCTAGGAATTCTTTGAACTCAACCTTTTAAGATAAATGGATAGGTCGGGTTGGTCTCATCGAATGGGTTCCATATTCTCCGGATTTAACTATACCAGATTTTTTTATATGGGGGTATGTTAAGGAAAGATGCTACGATCCAACACCTACAAACTTAACTGAACTGAGGAATAATATAATTCATGTGTTTAATACAATTACCCCAGAAATGTTGCAAAATGCATTTACAAATTTTTTAATGCGTCTGCATACATTTATTAAACAAAATGGAGGCCATATTCAACAATTAATTTATTAATGTTTTAGTATATATTTTTTGTATTCAATAAAAATTCAGATAGGTACCAACATGGTGGGACACCACTTACGCAACAAAAATCCGTGTGGTATGAGGTGCTCTTCTCTGTCTTTATAAGTAAAATATCATTACTTGATATTATTCTGAAATTTATACCTAAGGGACAAGGCAATGAAAAACAGTAACTTATCAATGATCGTTCGATGTAAAACGTCAATTTATATTTCGATATGTGCCACCAAAATGTAATAGACACCGTTAATACTGATTTAATTACCTAAAATTAAAATCTATTAGAGCAATAAAAAAATTATAAAAAATTGACTTTTTTTAAAAGGCGAAGAAATAAACTATCTAATGACTATGAGAGATACGAAATGTTTCATTCGCCATAAGACCTTAATCTGAATTTAATTTTTTTTTACGAAAACTTTACAAGTTTAAGATTTAGTAACTATGTCAGAAAAAAATATAAACATTTCCAAGAATTTTGGTGAAAACCTTTTATCAATACATTGCCTTACTCCCAAATTATAAGTTAATTAATTGTGATATTTTACGTTTGGAAGTTATTGACATGGTTGCATAAAAACGTGAATGTTTCCCTAAAAAATAAAGTAAATGCTTACAATGTATACACTTTTGGAAAGAGGAAGAAATGGTCTTTCCGGGGATGTTAAAAAATATAGGGTGTTCTATTTAAAATAAGCACACAATTTTGGTTCAAAAATGTTCATTTTTTCGGTACTTTCCAGAAAAAAATTACATCTGGCAACAATGTCAAGAAAAACTTGAAGTAAATGTAGAAGGTCTAGTGAAAACTGCATCTCGATATCTTTTTTAATTCTCGAGTTATAAGTTGTTAAATTGTGTCAATTTATAGATGGATAGTATTTATAGTATTTTAAATAATAAATTTAAACATAATTACCAATTTGATAGTAAATTTGCATGCGTTTTTATCACATACCTATGTAAACAAATTTAAAAAATTATATTTATGATAAACGGGTTCTTGTTTGCTTGACAAAAAAAAATTGTATCGTCCCAAACCTTACATTTTTTTGGAGTGCCTAGTGATTTATCAGTGGTAAATTAAAAACATGTATAAGTATCTTGGTTATAAACCATTTCAGTTAAACTACTTATTTTCGTTTTCCAGTGAAACACCCTGAAAATATTATGTACTTATTAGGTAAGAAAGAATTCAGTTCAAATTTTACATTTTGTATATAAAAGAAGTAAAAATGATTACTTCCAAGTCACTTGATAGTGCTGCCACCTCTTGAATCATTTAAACTGTTTAGTCTTCTTATCGCATTATGATATTTAATAAAGATTTTTACGTTCTCCAAATAAATGCGAAATCAGCAGTTTCCGGAGTTATAAAATTTTTTACTGCCAATAGCACCGTTATGATTTTGTGAATTGTGACAAACTTTCTTTTACGATTTTATGGTTTGTATTTATACAATGTATGTGATTTAAGCGATTTTGAAGTTTGTGGTAAGAATAGGCAAAATAAGAATATTCTCAATTATTTTCTTTGTATGATTTTCAGCCAATTATAACTTCAATTTTGGGATAGCGAACTCAGTATATAATTAATAGTTTTAAATAATCATTATTACTGATTGAGTAACTCGTGAAGATAACTCTAGCAATCAAAAAAACATACTTTACCGATTTTTTAATTTAAAAATAGTTTATTTTTTAAAAACAGTTTATCTATAATTTATTTTTAACATAGTAATTAATTTATTTAATACTTGGTCAGTATTATAACTGACCATTCTAATTTATTTATTGCTTATTTATTTATTTATTTGAGTAACACCATCCAACAGTATAAAACCAATTACAGGATGGGCTCAAAAATAGTTACACTCACTAGGGTGGGCCGAAAATTGCAAAAAAAATCTATATATTATATTTACTTGAGGGTACCAACAAAAAGTTGCCCTATGTCAAAAGGAATTTGTAGAAAAAAAGTAGCGTACTTGCCCAATATTTAAGGGGGCCCCGGGGGGTCCCAATTTTTTTAATATATATTTTGTGTGGGGTAGTAATAAAAAAAACCTTATGGTAAAATCAATTGCAAAAAAAAGTAACTCAAGTAGCCCAATATTTAAGGGTGCCCCAGGGACCCCAATTTTTTTTATATATATTTTGAGTGCGGTGACAACAAAAAAATATCTTATAGTAAAAGTAATTCTAGGAAAAAACAACCGTAGTAGCCTAATATTTAAGGAAGCCCCAAGGGCCCCAAATTGGAAGCCACAAGGGCCCCAATTTTTTTTAGAGATTTTTAATGTGGTAGCAACAAAAGTTTTCTTATAAATACTAGGAAAACAAAATGTGTGTATTGATTAAATATTTTATTTTATTTTTTAAGACACTCATAGAAAAGTAAAAATAAAAAAATAAGAATTTTACTTTATTTCATACCCAAATATTATAATTATTGTATTATTCGTATTACATTTTTATTTATAATATTGACCCTTGTTGCCATACGCTGGTAAAGATTTCCTCGCATCTAATTTTGCTACTATATAACCATTTCTTGCTTCCTCACTGCAAACTTTTAATGCAGCTTCGGTTACAAGCTTTACGCACCTTTCTACTGCTTGTGTGTGACATGGAAATTTGCCAAATCTTGTGGAGAATTCATCTGCTTTGCTTATGAATCTTTCTAGTTCTCCATGTGTTAAACCAGTCGTTTAAGGAGGTTCTGTAATTGTACATTCTGCCCATTTAATTAAATCAATATAGTCTTGAGCCTCAAAGTTTAAGTTGGGAATTCTAAAAACTCGAACACCTTCTGGTTTATTTCTAGCTTTTAAAATCCGTCTTACTGCCAGTTCTCTTATATGTTTTCTTTCATCGGCTAACATGGCAACTAAAATATTTTTAGGATGTGCGTAAAATGCATTATTTAAAATGGCTTTATCAACAACGGCTGTTATTGTTTCAGCAAATTGCCTTAAAAGATAAATCGTTTGCCACAAATGCCGAGCACCAAATTGTAAGTATGGTTTTGCCTTTGTTACAAACCACATTGTTGAATAAACTTTTACAATAAATTTTGCAGGTAGTTTAAGGTTATTGGATGGTTCACTTACTGAAACATATAATCTCAGGACACGATTGGCGGTAGTCAACCATCGAGAATGAGACGTTTTTCCTGGGTTTGTTTGTGCAAGATCTGCGGGGCAGATATCATCTGAAACAGCCTGACAGATTCTATATAAATACTGCTGATCCGTGCTTAAGTCTTTGTAGTTTGTATCAGGTAAATCAGTTTCAATTTTCGAAAATGAAACAATTGGACGTTTTTCGCAATTTTCAAGTAAGGAACCAATTTCTCCTGAGTATTGATACGGGCCTTTGGTATGCCCGTCTTGTTTTTGTAAGAGATGCCTTAAGGGAAACTCGTTAGCGTGTAAGTAGCATACAGCCCACTGCAAAGGTTTACCTAAATAAAAAAGTATATATATTATTATTTTGTTTATATTAAGTAACCCAACTAATTTATACCTAACTGAGTTTCCACAAGACGTATAATACCTCCTTTCCAGCCTGTGTTACAATTAGTGCCGTCGCAACCGATAACCTTAATATTTGTCATATCAACTTCATTTTGGTTTAAGAAGGATGATATGCCACTTGCAATATCAGTTGCCTTAGACGATGTAGTAAAGGATATGTGACCAAAATACCGACTACCTGGTTCTTGAATTAATGAAATGTGCTCCTCAAGTTTTTTGATTCGATGCCCGTTTAAGTCAACGATCGTTTGGTCTTTGCGCCCATCAAAGTATATTGCATCAAGATCTTTGTTCTTGTTATCGTTGTGCCATTTGTTTTTTAAATAATTTCTATTTTTAAATATTGCCCTTCTAATTTTATTATTATCAACAACTTGTGCTATTTTTTTATTGGAAACTATTTTCATGTCTGTCAAAACAGCAGTTGCTTTTTTTGCAGCAGATCTATTTGAAATTCCAGTTAAATTCGCGGCTTTAGCTGTATGAAATAAGGGTAATCTCATTTGGGCTACATTTAATTTAGTTTGTTTTATTTTTCGATTTTTTAATAGATCGTAGCTTCATTTAAATTCTTTCTCTTCTTCTTCTTTATAATCTTCGTCCATTTCCTCTGAGTTATCACTAAAAACACATTTCATTTTGAACAATGTTTGAGTTTTTCTGCAAGCCACTGGTGCCTGCTACGGCTTCATCTGTTTTATTATTTGTTTTACTTTTCTGCTTTTTTTTTCTGTATTTTTGCTGTCAATTTTTTAGATGTTTGTTTATCAACGCGTCCAATAATCATTTGTTGCGTAGTTCGTTGGTCGATTAGAAAACTAAATTCTCTTTCAGGTATTTTCCTCGTTTTTCCACATTTACACACATTAATGTCTTTGCACTTGCAGGTAGAAATATCAAAAAGTTTTCCTGAGTCATTCTTAAACACATTTAATTTTGAACTTAAGTGCGTGCTGCTTCTATTTTTAATGGGTTTTATGATATTCTGATATTTTTTATGATATGCCACAATCATATTAACTATTCGTTTTCTTGACAAAAAAGGAAGTGATGCACGTTTTCAAACTGTTTCTACCTTTTCAGCGACTACTGCAGCTATACAAAATTTAGAAGGCTGTTTGATACCTTCATATTTTTGTTTTAATCTTACGCTTTGAAAACAGCGAATAACATCTGCATAAGTAGGAAGCGTTATAGCATTATCTGAGTCAACGTCTTTTTCTGTATCAAAAAGAAGGACACTTGAAGTTTTACGAGTCTGTATTGCACTTTTTGCCATTACTTGTGCTTTTACAATAATGTCATAAAATGTCGAAAGTATATATATATATATATATATATATATATATATATATATATATATATATATATATATATATATATATATATAATACATAAAATGTTTTAATAGATATCCTAATTATTAATTTAGTTTATTGATCACACTACCACTAAAACCGTATGAAAAAACACTTAAAACTAAAATACAGGCGAATGTACTTCTCTGTAGTTAACTCGCTATTGGCATAGTGTCGATTCGATTGGCGCCAGAGGAGTAGAATATAAAACATAAGAAAACGGTGCCGCGCACGCGCAAGCAATGCAAGGATGCATCGACGATGAATCAGCGTCTATTAAATAGAACAATATCGGATGATAAACAGAATATGATTTTCTTAAAAAAATAATATCATTATTTCAACATTTAAATAGGTATTATTGTGTTATAAAAATTATAAAATAGGGTGTTTTGGGCCCTGGGGAGGGCTTAAATATTAAGTTGGGCAACCAAGATTTTTTTGGGGTCATAATAAATGTACTAGTTAACGTTTTTGGGGTACCTTAAGTTATTTAGTTCTTTATTTTTTTTTTCTTATTTTGGGCCCAAAGGGGGGGTCTAGTGAAAAAATAAATAATCCAGATTTTTAGAGTGTGATTAAAAACGCAAAAGGTAAGTTTATTTTGTTACCTCTAAATTAAATTCAAAAAAAATTCTTTCGGCCCACCCTAATATATATATACAGGGTGGACCGGATTTAATTTGCGTATACAGAGATCTCGTAAACCGTAAGATATACATTGTCATTTAAAAGGGGAAAAAGTTTCGTATTTTGACGGATAATACAATGGTCCATAGAAGTTACAGATTTTCTGACTGGTTCCGGAGATATTCGATAAAATCCGAAAAACCATATTTTCGTTTTTTAAGTCGTGCGTTGTTATTATAAAAAATACAAAAAAAATTATACAAAGTTTTTGTTGTAAATTCACTTCCCTATATACTGTCATGCCAAAATTTTTATTACGACGTTTCGTATTTCCAGGTCCACCTTCAACTTATTTTTTTAAATACGGACCTGGATTTTTACCTGTAATTTTTTATAGCTTTTGTATAGGTTAATACAACGATATGTTACACTTTACCATTTTACTACGTTTCGTCTATGAAAAATATCATGAGCTATGTAGCTTTTGATAATACCGTTTCTTTTTTATTTTTTTTATTAAAATAAGATAGCTAATTAAATAATAATTAAAAAACAAAAAATGCCTAAAATGTAAAATTTTAAATATTATTTGAAACATAATACAATAATTATTTAATTAAAAAATGGGTTACAATTTTTTATCAAACATGATTAAGTACAACTATCAAACAAGACTAATGAAGAACGAATTATGGTTATACACATCCTACAAATAATAAAGCTAATAACAAAAACAAAAACAGTCACATAAGTTTCTCAAAATGTAGTCCATTGTGTTGGATACAGAGTGCAATTCTCCTAGACATTTGGGATGTAGTTTTATCAACCATTTCTGGTGTAGTTTTTTCAAATGCATCTACTATTCGTTGATGAAGTTCTTGTAGATTATTTGGCATATTTTTGTCGTAGCTTTGGTTCTTTACGAAGCCCCATACAAAATATTCCATGGGCTTAAGACAAGGAGATCGAGAAGGCCATCTTATTGGTCCATTGGTACCAATCCAATTACCTTTAAAATATTGATCGAGATACTCTGCAACCCTCCTAGCATTGTGTGCACCACAACCGTATTGCATAAAGTATTGAAGATTTTGTCTTGTTTGTAAGGGCATCTCATCGAGTACTTCCTCCAATAAACGTAGGTATCGGAACTGATTTAAATTACCATCCAAAAAAATTGGCCCAATAATCTGATTATTAATTAGTCCATACCACACATTTTTGCTAAAACGAAACTGTGGTCTAACTCCTCTGATTACATGGGGATTAGAAGCAGCATACAAATGCTTGTTCCTGGGATTAAATATTGTGACTATTTTTGTTTTTGAATTTTGTTTTTGTTTTTAGCTTTATTATTTGTAGAATGTGTACAACCATAATTCGTTCTTCATTAGTCTTGTTTGCTGGTTGTACTTAATCATGTTTGATAAAAAATTGTAACCCATTTTGTAATTAAATAATTCTTGTATTATGTTTCAAATAATATTTAAAATTTTACATTTTAGGCATTTTTTGTTTCTTAATTATTATTTAATTAGCTATCTTGTTTTAATCAAGTAAGAAACGTATCATCCAAAGCTACATAGCTGATGATATTTTTATAGACGAAAAGTAGTAAAATGGTAAAGTATAACATATCATTGTATTTAGCTATACAAAAGCTATAAAAAATTACAGTTAAAAATCCAGGTCCGTATTTAAAAAAATAAGTTGAAGGTGGCCCTGAAAATACAAAGCGTCGTAATAAAAATTTTGACATGGCAGAAAATAGGGAACTTGATTTATAACAAAAACTTCGTATAATTTTTTTTTGTATTTTTTATAATAACAACGCACGACTTAAAAAACGAAAATGAGGTTTTTCGGATTTTATCGAATATCTCCGGAACCAATCAGAAAATCTGGAACTTCTATGGACCATTGTATTATCCGTCAAAATACAAAACTTTTTCCCTATTTAACCTACAATGTATATCTTACGGTTTACGAGATCCCTGTATACGCAAATTAAATCCGGTCCATCCTGTATTTATAGGGTGTACTAATTAAAACTCCCAGGTCGGATATTCTGGTAAGTAATAGAGATATTTTAATTCTACAGAAGCCAGTTCACAGAACACTAATAGCGTCTTCGATTCCACTGCCCTGCCTGCGTGGAGTACACATAAAAGATGAGCGATATAACGATACTGGTTACATTTTAGATTGAAAAGTAACTGGTATTGACATATCTCCCACCTTTCGTATGTACTCAGTGCAAGCAGTGCACTAGATTCGAAGACCTATAAGAAAACTTCAGTTTTAGATACAAATTGAATTTAAATAGGTCAAAATGTAGATGGCGCTGCGCTCAATAATTTTTTTTTTTTTTTTCGATAGGAGGATCTTTCTTGTTTAGTGCATCTTGTAAAAAATGCATTTTTAAGCAGATTTTGTTCCATTAACTAATTCGATAAATCTAGCCATTTTTAATATACAGAGTGGGTCGCTCAAAACAGTTTCATCCTGTTTTTCAGCATTATTCATTGGATTTTAAGAAAATGCTAAAAAAGGTCGATTTTTATTCCAAATTAAAAACATTTTTACAATACAGACATATGTCATGTGTCAACCCCCTCCCTTGCACTTCTCCAATACCTTAATTTTATATAGGTAACGTATCATGTATGGCACATCATTGAAATTTTATTATTTGACACTTTCAATCTATTCTAACAATACAAATGAACAAGTTTTAAGATTTTTCTGTGGATGTAAGAGATAAAATATTTTAAATAATACCATTAAACCCATAAATCAATTTGGAACCAATTCATGTTGTTTTGTCTGGAAAAAAGTACGACTTCGGCGCAAAATTTCTATAATATTAAAATACTGGGCATACAACATGCGTAGAAAAGATGGTGAAGATTCTGTAGTTTAAGCAATTATTTTATAAATTAATACAGAAATACAATGTTTCACTTATTTTTTTTGTAAAATTGGACTAAAAATGGCGGTTTAGATGTACTCTAAAACCGACACAAATATTTTTGTTTAAATTTCTATTCCATTGCGATTTTTCAATTTAAAAATGTTTATGGGTTATAATAAAATATAGGTATTTGAATAAAAAAAGACAAACAGGATCCAGGTCTAACTATGTTGGTCGGGCTGAGACCAGGGCTACTCCCAGGCGCGATCCCAATTCTACACGACGCGGAGACGATAAACTGCATACTTATTTTTTTTTTTTTTTAATTTTGATTTGTAATTAAAAAAATTGTAAACCCTGATCAAAATGCGATTTGGGTTGATTCTTATAAACCAGGGCTTGTAAAGATCTTCTACGTGGTTTAGTCTGTCAACATATATATCTGAAAATTCAACGTCCGGTCCGTGGGGCCTCAGTCTGGATATGGTGAGAACCACCAATTTAGCGTCTTTCGAATTTGTTTTGGGATTCTATATTGTACGGGGTGGGAAACTTAAAATGAAATCCGGCCATATCTCAGAAACCGATCAGTGAATATATT